TCCTGCACGCTGCAACGGTCTCTGCGACCTTTGCTGGTGCGTTGACACCAGCGGCCATCTGGACTGCGAGCACCCGCGGTCTGTTCTTGCCAACATGCTGTGGCCGTCGTCGAATGCCTCGGTGCCACCCTGAACGTAGGAGCGTGTCCCCACGTGGCAGCTACCTCACCAGCTAATCACGCATTTAGTGGTCCCTGTGTGGGTAAGGAGCGTGTCCCCAAAGGTGGCATGCTACCTCAACAGCTACATCAGTAGGGGCCGAGTAGTGGTCCCTTGGTGCGAAGCGTGTCCCTGCACGGAGTGCATGCCTACTTTACACCCCCTCTCACAGCTACAGAATCCCCTGGCAAAGAAATGCTGCTGAGGGCGTGGTAGGGGGAGACATGCGGGAAGTACGCTAGGGGTGTGGAGGCCTGCTACCCTCACAACCTAAAGCATGGCCATTAAGTACCCCTCACCACTCGGAGTCATGAAGGAAGAGTAAGGCATGGGTGGTGTGCCACACCCATACGGCTAAAAGCTTGGCCATTAAGCTAACCCCCCTCAACCGAGCCGGGCCATGAAGGAAAGGTAGCAATGGGTTGTCGTGCCACCGATAAGATACAGCGACATAGCATGGCCATAAATGTCCCCCACAGAGGACCCGGGGCATGAAGGAGAGGTAGCATGGGGTGGTGTGCCACACCATACGACTACAGCATGGCCATTAAGATACCAGGCCCTCACCCCGGGCCTATGAAGGAAAGGTAACATGGGTTGTGTGTGCCACACCCATACGACTACAGCAGTGGCCGGTAAGTGCCCCCCTCGACCACCCCGGGCCATGAAGGTAAATTAAATGGTAGCATGGGGTGGTGTGGCCACCGATACAGATACACGACTATAGCACTGGCCAAAATTAAGTGCCCCCTCACATACCCCGGCCCCATGAAGGAAAGGTAGCATGGGTTGGTGTGGCCACCGATACTAATACACGACTACAGCATGGCCATGTAAGTGCCCCCACACCCCTGGGCCATGAAGAAAGGTTAGCATGGGTTGTGTGGCCACCGATACAGATACACGACTATAGCATGGCATAAGTGCGCCCCTCACACCCGGGCAATGAAGGAAAGGTCGCCCTGGGTTGGTGTGCCACCGATGTACAGATACACGACTATAGCATGGCCATTTAAAGTGCCCCCTCACAAACCGGGCCATGAAGGAAAGGTAGCATGGTTTGGATGTGCGCACTCGATACAGATATCACGACTATAGCATGGCCATTAACTGTCCCCCTCACACCCGGGGCATGAAGGAAAGGTAGCATGGGTTGGTGTGCCACGACCATACGACTACGCATGGCCGTTAAGTGCCCCCCTCCACACTCCCGGGGCATGATAAGAAATTAAAGGTAAGCATGGGTGGGCGCTCACCGATACAGATACTACGACTACAGCATGGCCAGATGAGAGCTGGCCTGCAGGGCGTGGATGGAGGCGTAACGATGACAATGCCACCCTGGGCAAAGCTACAGCTACACACATTCCACCCCGTACTAGGAGAGACGGCAGCGGATGTCGAAAACGCCCTCCGTAATTCTCGAGATGATCTTTCGAAAACCCACGCAACGTCTGCGAGCTGAGTCATCGACGGTAGTGCTCCGCATCGCCAGGATGCGACCCCAGGACGTCCGGAGAACCGCCGCAAAAAGAACAGTCCGCGAATAGCAACGCCAAAGATGAATCAATTGTGATTAATTCGAATGAGGCCTTTGAGCATAATATAAAACTGGGCAGCCTCTGTACATTCGCTAAATAGTTTTTTAAGTAGAACGATGTTCCGTAAGTACGAACCGATGACGTGTCCAGTAGTTCGAGTGTGCAATATGTGAGAAGTTTAAATAATAGAACGCGTTGGGAAGTAAGATGAGAGAACCGAGAGACACTCCCATAGATATCGCCTAGCTCACAGTTCCAGCGTTAGAACCATAGGTGGGGGAGAACGTGGGGATTAGTCTGAAATCCCTTTTTCGTGAGCTAAAGAGGAGTAAGCTTCAGAGAGTACCCACCTTGCTTGCCCGGGTGGGAACGTTGTGTAGTACCTCTCCACTTTGGACTTCTGGCTGGTGACCACACAAATATAGTTGTCAGCGTTCGTGTTAGCGTACGACGAAAGTGACGTTTCTCAGTGTTCGACGGTAAACCATTAAAAGTAATTATATATAATATATTATATACAAAACATTAACGAATATAATATTACGAATCAGTCGAACCGTGCTGGGCACTCTCTTTCCGACGTTAAGCCCCCGCAGGTAGCTACTGTTAAACAATAAGCTGAAGTGTTATGAGTGAAAATTAGTTGTATAGAGCATCCAGGTATTTGCTTCGTGGGATGACATTGATTACAGATATTTAGGAGGATAAAATATTTCACGCGGTGACACAATTAGAGGGCATACGAGCCGTGTACAGAAACCAAAAAGATCAAAATGTAAATTATATTGTGATAAATAGATGTATTTTATTTTTGTGAGTTGTTTAAAAATTTGAAACATAGACACACTCAACTCATACTCATCTTGATCACTTAAATATTATCAAGAAGCTATAATACCTATTTACTAGGTATTAATAATTTTATTATATAATATATGTATATTAATAGACATACCGTTCAGATTTTATAGAGGCAGAATATTGCTATATATGATATATATATATATAAATATATATTATATATATTATATATATATATATATATATGATTTATTATATTAGATATATATATTATATACAACAACAACAACAACAACAACAACAACAACAACAACAACAACAACAACAACAACAACAACAACAACAAGAGCAGCAGCAGCAACAACAATAGAGGCATGACAGCTGCTCCTATAGCTTTTCAGGATCATGTTGTGGTACTCAAGATACATGTAATGTTGGAGATCAGTGACCCACTAAGACAACAGCAACAATAATAAAAATAACAACAATAACAACAACAAACAACAACAACAATAATAGTAACAACAAAAACAACAACAATGACGACGACGATGACGACGACAACCCCCACATATCCTCTGTGCCACCGCAAAAGAAGCAGCAGCAACAAGTTACAACAACAACAACAACAACAACAACAACAACAACAACAACAACAACAACAACAACAACAACAACAATAACAACAACAACAACAACAACAGCAACAGCAACAACAGCAGCAGTATAGTTAATAGCACCCGGGCTCCTACCTCTTCTGGCGTATGTTGTGGTACTCGAGGTACATGTCGTTGCGTATCTGCTCTCGCTCCTCGTACGTCGACATGTACGGGTAGTAGTGCAGCAGGAACGGCCACGCCTCACTGCGGATGCTCGGGTCCAGTCCACCGAAGAAGATCGCCTGCAAATGATCACAGCTCTCTAATTAACATTAACATCTCTATTACAACTCTAATTGCTCCATTACTACTATACCGATCCCCCCCCCCACCCCACCCAGTGATTTAACGCAGTCCCAAACCAGCACCACCTGGCGATGTAACCCTGTATTGGCTGGCACCCCCTGGTCGCACCACAGCGGCGCCCCCTGACGGCACATCGTCGCACTGCGCCAGCACCCCCTGGCGGTGGACGTACCTTACGCAGCTGGTGGTCCTCTTCGATCTGTCCGTCTGAGTTGACGTAGGATCGCCACAGCTCAGCGTTGACGGCGCTGTGCGTCCCCTCCTCGGGATGTCGCTCTGACTCGCTCACCTTCGGCCGGCAGATCGAGAACTGCTTGCACATGGACTCGCGCGGACCAGTCACCTGGGGAACGGACGACACGATGCCACCGTGGGGACACGCTCCTACCACACAGGGACCACTACTGCCCGTGATGTAGCTGTGAGGGTAGCATGCCACCGTGGGGACACGCTCCTACGTCGGCGTGGCCACCGAGGCATTCGACGACGGGGCAGAAACCGGAGTCCCACATGCCTGGTCCGCACAGGTCGCAGAGACCGTGCAGCGTGCAGGGAATACGCTGCAGCTGCCTGTACTGGTGCAGCAGACCTCGCGCCTGCACGAAAACACAACAACAGCAATCAGCGATGACATATCTCGATGATTGTCAACTAGTTAATTCATCTCGATGTCTTTTGGCGTGTAATGTCGAATGTTTTTAATTTTAGTAACAGATAGAGACAGATGGTATCCGAGTTGTAGAGTCACTGTGGTGGGTTATGCAGACGCATATTGTTAATTACTGAAAAACCTTGGTGCTACTAGGTGAAATGTCTTCTACAAAACAACAGGTTACTACTGAATGGCATACCTGCTTTAGGGCAAATAAGGTGCTACTAGGTAACACACCTCCTATAAGACAACAGCAGTGCCACTATAGGGCGTACCTTCTATAAGGGCAACAGCCATGCCAATAGATGGCGTACCTTCTATAAGACACAGCGGTGCCAATAGATGGCGTACTTGCTATACGCACAACAGCGGTGCCACTACATCGCATACCTTCTTAAGGCAACAGTCATGCAATAGATGGCATACCTTCTATAATAGAAACAGCCGTGCCCAGCTAGATGGCCGTAGCTTCTATAAGACAACAGCAGTCGCCACCTAGATGGCATACCTCTCGTATAAGACAACAGGCGGTGCTCACTGATATGGCCCGTACCCTTCTATAAGGACACACAGCCATGCAATTCAGATTGGCATACCTTCTATAAGACAACGCAAGTGCCACGCTGAGTGGCATACCCTTCTATGCAAGGCAACAGCCATGCCAAATAGATGGTGTACCTTCTATAAGGACAACAGCAGTGCCACTATATGGCATACCTTCTTTAGGCAACAGCCATGCCAATAGATGCGCGCGCCCCTACCTTCTATAAAGACAAACAGCCATGCCATATAGATTGGCTACCTTCTATAGGCAACAGCCATGCCAATAGATGGCGTACTTCTATAAGACAGTAGCGTCTCACTAAGGTGGCGTACTTCTATAAGACAACACGCGCGGTGGCATAGATGGGGCCCGTACCTTCTATAAGGCAACAGCGGTGCCACTAGATGGCGTACCTTCTATAAGACAACAGCGGTGCCACTAGATGGCGTACCTTCTGTAGCACGACGTCACCACGCATGTGCATCGCGAGGCTGCTGAAGTGTAGCAGCATCTCATCAGACGGCATGTCCAGCGTTATGATATCCTGCCCATAGATGGCGATGATCGCCACACAGATGAACAGATGGAAGTAGTCGGTCTGATAGTGTGCCCAGCACGCCTCCCACATACGCAGGGCGTCCGGCTGCCAGCGGGTGAAAAACCACAACGTAGATTAGCCTAAACCTCATCAGAGACTCATGTGAAGCGAATAGAGGTCTGGGTCGTGGTTATGGGATGCAGGTCCACTGCACTAGTCCACGTGGGTTCAACGAGTTTTTGACTCGACACCATTGAGCTAACGATAAACCTACTTAAGGTTCTATTAGCTCATTCGTGCGAATAATACAATGGGCTCCCTGGAAAACTGCACCCACCTAAAGCTATAACCACTTCTGGGGTACATGATAGGAATGTTTCAGGTATAGAAATTTGCTTAAGAATATTTATAAACGTATTTTAATAACAAAAAGTAATGAGTGATCCCTCACATATGTATTCATTACGTATGAGATTACTCTAATTAATTACTTACATAACTAATATTTAATTCGGCAAATAAAGAGATCTGAGAGCACATAACATGGACTCGTGACTGCAGTTAAGCGATTTCACCGTCACACGTTTACTCCCCAGCACTCACCTCCTGGAATTCACGTTTGAAACAGAGAAGAATCCAGCGATGCGTGAAGAGCAACTCAAGGGCGTTGCTCTGACGGCTGAGGTGATCGTATAACGGCGACTGCATCTCTCGCAGCAGTTCTCTCAAGTAGCTCTATAACATGTCAGCGATGTGATCATATTACACACACATAGCGGCGGCTTTCACAGCTTCACTAAAGCTTCACATAAAGCTCTACCCAATTCTAGCAAAATCAAAATCAAAAACAAAATCTGGACCGTTTTACGAAAAAATCCTCTTCCAAAACGTACCACGCACGAAAAATATGTGCCATGAAAAAACCTTTAAATAAATCACGAACATCTTTACTTAACGAGCTCCATATAGCAGCACGTGGGCCCCTTACCAATTGCTTGTCGATGTCAGTGTCTTTGGGCGAACTCACGAAGATGGTGCCCTGCATGAGGCCGACGAAACACCAGAACGTGTCGGATTCGCTGTGCACCGCTCTGAGTACGGGGGCTAGCAGGTCAGACATGCCCTGCGTGTATCCCATGCGCGGGTTATACACCGCATAGTTCAGCAGGATGTTCCTGCAATCAAAGCAAAAGCACGGTCTGGTACTGCGCTCGGTCGCAAATCTGCGACGACTGCTTAATCGAGTGATCACGAATAAACAGGTTTAGTGTAGGAGTGACGACGGTTTGGTTCACACGCTGTTCGAGAGCGATGCAAACTGGTTAATTAAGTTGCAGAGTTTTAAACCCGAGCCTTTAGCGCAAACTGTGCAGAGCAGAGATGCTGCAAAAAATGCACGAAATTTTACCTTGATGGTTCAGCGTAAGCTTTGTCATCACTCATAAAGCTGAAGTTGTCACTTATATCTGAAGTTGCAGCTCAATATCTTGACACTTCCCAAGCCTTTCTCAATTTTTACAGAGAAATGTAAAATGTCAATTTTTACTGAAAATCTCAGTGAGAAATGGCTTCCCCCTCGTAGAGAAGGGGAGTCGAAATGGAGACACACTCCTCGTGCTTACCTCATTATCTCGAGGTTTGGGTTGTTCTCACCCTTAAAGAAGGGGTTTGAGCGGTCGGTTCTAACAACATCTTTGTCCACTGTACACTGGATTTGCCTCCAGAACGTCTCCTGCTGCTCTTCCGTAAACGACTCCCTGCGCAAAGCAATACACTAGTGAGCAAGCTAACACGAAGCACACTGAATAGCAACAACACACACAACACAGTCACGACAACAACGTAGCTATTTTGCATGATGGCAGCTAGGTGGTAGAGGCAACAACAACAACAACAACAACAACAACACAACAGCAACAGCAGCAGCAGCAACAACAACAAATATATATAATATATATGATGTATATATATTTATGTGTCAGTGTGCAGCGGCAGCCATGGCGGCAGCCAGCGTTTGTTGCAGATGAGCATTTGGTCGGCAATAATAGGTGAAAGAGAGTATAGAAACATTAAGACTTTGAAGTAAATAGATTTCGTATTTATTTAGCATTATATTTTATTGAAACGCTCCAAGTGCCTGTGATAATAGTGTTTCCCCTGCATTGACACGAGCGAGGCGGGCCGCCTCGCTCAAATTCTCAGCCGCCACACAGAAATTTGTCCAAAATCCTCGGTGACGAAAATCACTGTTCTTCCATCAATAAACTACACTTTATTGAACTAAAATTGAAATAAAGCTTCAAACGTAAACCACAACGCCGCGTACTTACGATACTGTCAACACACGAATCTTGGCAAGGCATATATATAAACAGGTTAGGAAGATGATTGGCCACGTACTTGAGCGCCACAGGCACCATTGTTGACTCCAGCAGCGAATTAAGGGCACTATACCTATGCATACATACGCATGGGTGTTCGTTTGTATTCTACACCAGGAAAGTGCTTTCGTTGAAATAAAATCACATATCATACTGTTGAGCGTTATTAACGCAAATGAGAGCATTAATTAACTAATAATATTTTTTTAAATTTTTGGTTGAACTAAGTATTTTTCAAATGTATGAACTTCAAATTCATAAGATCATTGATACACAGAAGATAAATATAACCGGAAGCTTCAAGATCTTTGCCACGCTCCAGGCATTCGCCTCGTTTTCGACAGTATTACTATTTAATGTGAATACTTGTATCATTTCATATTCATAGTTTATTTGTTCCTTTTGACAACTTGAAAAAGTGATTCAAGAGTCTCATATAATGTGTTCAGAATAGTCGCACCATTTTTTTAAAATTTTTCCGGACCCCCCCGGGCCCCTAGCGTGGCGACCACCTTCAGTGATCGCGTTGCTCGCTCCTCGGATAGCACAACCACCAAAATAAATTTTACCACCTCGCTGACCTTTTTGGTCAGGGGAAACACCATGTATCTATATATATATATATATAATTACCTTAATGGTTTACCGTGAACACGAGAAAAAACGTCACTTCGTCGTACGCTAACACAACGCTGACAACTACGCGTAAAATATGGAAGTCAAAAAATGTTGTCACCAGCCAGAGATCAAAGTGAGAGGGACTACACAGCAGCTATCCTGGTCCCACCCGGGCAAGCAAGGGGGTACTCTCTGAAGCTACTCCTATAGCTCACGAAAAAGGATTTTCAGACTCGGCCCTCCCTGCATAATTCCCCACGTTCTCCCCCACCTTTTGACTTTAACAGCTGGTTCTAACGCACTACTGATGTACACTACCAAGAGGCGATGCTATGCTACTTCCCACGGTTCTATGCATATCTCAATGCATAGATGCTCGACCGCTAAAGTTTCACGCACAATGCATCACACGAACTACTGACACGTCATCGGTTCGTACTACGAACATCGTTCTACTTAAAACACACGTAAGCGAATGTACAGAGGCTGCAGTAGTAGTTGTAATATTATGCTCAAAAGGCCTCATTCGAATTAAATCACAATTGATCATCTTTGGCTTGTATTCGCGGACTGTTCTTTGCGGCTGTCTCCGGACGTCCCGGAGCATCCTGGCGATCGGGAGCACCGTCGATGACTCAGCTCACCGCAGACGTCTGGTTTCCGGAAGACATCCTCGGAATTTACCGGAGGGGGTTCGCCGGACATCCGCTGCCGTCTCTCCGACGACGACCTCCGCTTGGATTCGCGGTGGAATGTGTAGCTGTAGCTGCCAGGGTGGCATGTCATCGTTACGCCTCCACTCCCACGCCTGGCAGGCCAGCTCTCACTGGCCATGCTGTAGTCGTGTATCTGTATCGGTGGCGCACCACCCCATGCTACCTTTAATTTCCTTCATGCCCCGGGGTGTGAGCGGGGCACTTAATGGCCATGCTTTAGTCGTATGGGTGTGGCACACCACCCCATGCTACCTTTCCTTCATGCCCCGGGGTGTGAGGGGGGTACTTAATGGCCATGCTATAGTCGTGTATCTGTATCGGTGGCACACCAACCCATGCTACCTTTCCTTCATGGCCCGGGGTGTGAGGGGGGTACTTAATGGCCATGCTGTAGTCGTATGGGTGTGGCACACCACCCCATGCTACCTTTCCTTCATGCCCCGGGGTGTGAGGGGGACATTTAATGGCCATGCTATAGTCGTGTATCTGTATCGGTGGCACACCAACCCATGCTACCTTTCCTTCATGGCCCGGGGTGTGAGGGGGGTACTTAATGGCCAAGCTTTAGCCGTATGGGTGTGGCACACCACCCCATGCTAC